GATTGAAAAGGTAACAGACTCGGGTGGAGAAGTAAATAAAAACACAACAATCGATATCGAATTATTGTCCAGCTCTATTGCCGGCCCTCTTCCTTGTTGACAGTCGTGTCAAACTGGTTGAAAACAACAAAGACCTGGTTTGTTCCACTTTGGAGTAAGCTGTTGGGGCTTCAAAGAATCAGTTTTGTTGTGTGTTTCCTTGACTGATGAAGCCTTCCGGATCAAAGGTGAAATGTTTCAGCACAAAAAAAAAGAAACTGTCCAGATGACCAGACTGAAAAATGTTGGATTGTATACCTGGATTATTGAGCATGGACTTTGTTGCCTCTAATTACAGTTAATTAGTTGGGTCAGGCTCGGACAAAATGCCTATGCGCTCGGGCCAGGTCGGATTTTTTAGACCCGAATGCAACTCTATCCCCCTCCTCAGCTGCCTGATGGTTTGCCAGAATCTTCTTGGAGCCGACCGAGAGTCTTTATCCAAGTCCTCATCGAACTCGTCTCACTGCTCCCCGAGCTTTTGTCTCAGCAACAGCCAAGGCTGCAGACAGCTTAGCCCTCCGGTACTCCTCAGCGGCCTCCGGAGTCCCAGCAGCCAACAAGGATCGATAAAACTCCTTCAGCTTGACAGCCTCCCTAACCTGGGGTGTCCACCATCGAGTTCACCACCACTGTGGTGACCCCAAAAAACCGAAAGCAGAATGAAGAATGCAGTTATTTAATGTTGGAGTACTTTAAGCCACATTAAAGTCCATGAATTATCATTTTTAAACATTAAAACCCTCGTAGTGTGTTTTTGCCTTTATACGTTATACTCAAAAGGGTGATCTTACAAAAACTAGAGCACAGGTAGTCCTAAGTACAGTACAGCATACCTTAAATTATACGGTTTTATTTGCCAGACCAACAGGCCTCTGCCTTAAAATGGCTTTATTTTACTCAAAGAGATTACTGTATATTTTAAAGATTTCAGTTCACATAGTGAGTACTTGAGCATTACATGCACTGTTAATATTTCATTTTACAACCCAGGGCTGGGGAGACATGGACATTTTCTTTCTCCTAATGGGGGGCAGACCAAAGAAGTTTGAGAACCGCTGCAATATGCTGACTTCCAACTTGACTGAACTTGTAAACCAGACTTTCCTTCAGGGCTAATCAGTATCTACTCAAGCTGAGGACACAACACTGAGGTGTTTGGAGCATCTGGCACTGACTGCCGTCAGATTTACTGTTCTGAACATTCATTAGTTCATCTCTGGTCTTCTAAGACCTACAAATGTTGATCTGAGACAGATGATCTTAAGAGGCCTCCTGCTGATTTACATCAGAATACAATGGCTGACACAGCTGTATATCTGCTTGGGATGTAGTTTTTGGGGGGAGTGATGTGCTCAGACACACACTTAAGAAGGGGATGAAGAGACGATGTCTATTGGGCAAAGCAGTGTCTGTACACTCACGTTTGCAATTAGTCTCTAGGAGAAAAGCAATAAACCTATTAAACCATTTTTTAAAAGTGGACACATACAAATGTGTAACATCACTACAATACAAAAATCAACACAAAAAGAAAGTTCTTCGTACACTTTTATCATTTTTACATACCGGTACATAAAAAAGTGAAAACACAATACGTTTTTTATGAAGATTCATAATAGTATAAGCAAACCTTTGATTTTTTTTTCTTATGTCCCAAATTCTGATTTAGGGTTAAATTTATTGAGTCTTTAGTGGGAGATTTTTTTTATAAATCAAATATAAAACAGGCAGCACGGTGACGCAACGCAGTTAGTAGAGCTGTTGCCTCTCAGGTCGCCGGTTCAAATCCCGGCCAGGGGCCTTTCTGAGTAGAGTTTGCATGTTCTCTCCGTGCATGTGTGAGTTTTCTCCGGGTACTCCAGTTTCCTCCCACAGACCAAAAACATGCATGTTAGACTGATTGGTAACTCTAAATTGTCTCTAGGTGTGAGTGAGAGAGTGAATGGTTGTTTGTCTCTATGTGTCCCTGTGATGGACTGGAGACCTGTCCAGGGTGTCCCCAACCACTCACACCAGTGACCCTCACGACCCGAAAAGGAAGAAACAGGTCAAGATAATGGATAGATGAAATATAAAACAAAAATTACATAAGAAACTATGAATTGTTGCTCTGG